TGGGCGCGCGGCATGCTGGGAGTCGTAGTCCGCTGGCGGCCGGGCTGGGGGACGACCCCCGTCGCGCTGCCTGTAGAGAGAGGGTGTCTCTATGGGGCTGCGTGCGCGTGGGAGTGGGGGGGGTGTACATCTATCTGATCTATATAGATCTATAAATAGATCTCTATCGATAGCTATAGGGTGTATGCGTCTAGGGTGTCTACGTAGGGTATCTATATGGCAAAGTAAGTATGTATGTGTGCATGTATATACATATATGTAATTTGATAAAATGTGTATGTATGTGTATATATATATATATATAATCAGTATAGTGTGTGTGCATGTGTAACCAGGAAAACTGCATTGGTTGACACATGGGACCAAAAAATACCAACTTCAAAACAAGTGGGTTCCAATGATCCAAATGACTATGGGTACGTAAAGACTTACTTCACTCACATACTGGCCTTACACTTAGATGGACTTAAGGGTTAGGTCCATCTAAGTGCCCAACTGTCCCACCCTCACCCCTCCCATCCCACCAAACCTCCCGGTGGACCTGCCATCCTGGACCCTGCGAAAGTCCTCCCAATCCTACAAACCCCTTCCCGCCTGGGGACCCGCTAACCCCCAGTCCTACTCAACTGTTCCCAATCCCGCCAACCCCCCCTAATCCCCCATGGACCCACTAACTTCTGATTGCAACAAACCGCCCCGATCCTGCCAACCCCTGATCCTGATCCTGCCCCTGCGATCATGGCTTATCTGCTCCTGGAGTCTTTTGGGGCCTTGAGTCCCCTCTTAAGCTTTGCGGTGACAAAAGCTTCAAAAACCAAAGCAGAGATTCCCATCTTTGTTTTTCTCAGGGTGGGAGGCAGAGCCAGAGCCAGAGCCACTCCTGCTTTCACACCTCTGCCCTGACTGCCCACTCCAGATCTTGCCTCCTGCCAGGGGAAGACAAACCCCAAGCAGCATCAAAAGGGAATATTTCAGCCCCAGTAAAGAGGGTGTGATGAGTGGAGACAGGCTTGCAATGGGATGCATTCTTTCATGAGCCTGTTGAAGGTATCAGAGGTGGGGTGGGCAGGGGGAACTGGGGCTGCAGAAACCTGGAAGACATGGGCCTGGTGTGGGTAAGTGTTATAGGCCATATATGCATCTGCCTGCATGCCTACGCTAGCATAGGAGCCTGGCAAAATCCCTCTGATGCAGGCACAACTTATGAAGGCAAAAGGGCAGTTTGCCAGTAATAAGTCATTGCAACCCCCACCCCAACACAGCAAAAACATCAACACTTGTTGCACGGTCCTATCTTTTTATTGAAACCTAAGCCATTACTGCTGTGGAAGCTTC